ATATTATGCTGAAGGACATGAAGAAGGCATTTCAGTTCGCCCACAAGGCATGCGAATTGAGTAACATGTACGCCTGTGCCAATCTTAGCCAGATGTATGCGCGTGGCGATGGCATCGAGAAGAACGAAAAGGAGGCGGAAAAGTATAGGAAGCTGGCCCTCGAAATGCAGGAGGAGGTCAAGAAGCAACAGGAGACGCTCAGTTTTAAACAGGGCGTCGGCATGCCAAACTGATTAACCTATACCTAAGTATTTATACATATATTGATAAAAATACATATATTTACATGTATATATACAAATACTATATATACATATATATAGTTTACTTTTCCTTTCCATGCTGCGCTCTTTCCTGTAGTTTTCCAAAATATACATCTTGTTCTTTATTTTTTCGTTTTGATTTACTTTTTGCCATTTTGTGACGCGTTTCTACAAACTCTTATGTTTCATAATTTCTTCCGATTACCTTTTAATACTTACAATCTATTTCCTATATCTAACTTAAGTGGGCTATATAATCATTAATACATATATGTATAAATTAGGATTTGAATAATAAGTCCTCGCGGATTATTTTGATAGAACTTTATTTTGATAATGATTTATAAAACACTAGGCCGACACGCCGTAGTGAGTGAGTTAAATTATACACGAAGTCGCTGGGCCGATGTGCCTCAGTGAAAGTCGAATTAAAAACTAAATTTACAAAAGATTGATCAAAAATACCTAAGCTATTGTGTGCTTTCACAACGGCCGCTAGAATGCTTAGCTTGCGCCTCGTGCGCTGCCGTCGTGCAAGAACATCCGGCCCAGAGCTATGTCAGCATCTGCGGCTGGTGTTATATTGCATTTTGCTGACCCCTGTTAGCTCGTAAGAACATCCGGCCCAGTGCTATATCAGCATCTGGAGCTGGTGTCGTTGGCCTCTGTTAACTTATATATATATACTAGCGGGCATAACCCGGCCTTGCCCGTGGCACGTTTGTTATAAAATCAATGTTTTTAAAAAGCTTTGAAAATGATTTTTAAACTGATCGGACGGGAATCAAACAACTTTTATGCAAATCGGACAAAACTTAAAATTCACCAAAAAAATCCTTGAGATGCATTTTCCACCGAAGGAGTTTCGATTTTGCGAAAAATGTGAAACACGTCTCAAATGATTTTTCCTATAGGTCTTTGTAAATAAATTTGAACACAAAACGTAATCCACCAAATCTTCGACCCCCATTTGCACCAAGAAGGGATGGATTTTTCAAAAAGTGTGAAACACCCCTCAAATGAATTTGAACATAGATCTTTGAAAATGAGTGTGGGGCCGATCGGATGGTAAACAAAAAACTTTCATACAACCGTTTTCCGCCAATTTACCACTGTTGCGGGTGGAATTTCCCAAATCGCTAAATACGTATTCAT